GCAGTCTCTTTTTAGTTCACCGTTGTGGTTATTTGACGGGAATTGGCTACTATATATATACTACAACATGAAAATAATGCTTAAATTATCGTTGTCATTAGTAATTATGCCAGTTTATATAAAACAAAAACTGTCTCATTGTAGGTTACCTGTTAATTTTTCTTCAACCTTCTAAACATTTTATCCAGTTTAATCAGTTAGTTGTTGAAGTGAACAAGAGCTGAATGCGAAATCTTTGATAAACAATAAAACACATTTTTGCCAAGGATTTTTTCTAAATATAACCTAGAAACTAAGAACCGTGACACAATAGTGATCAGCATGTTCATCTATAAATGGATTATAACATGATTGAGAAGTAGAGCCGAAGAATCTTCAACAGAAAGTAAATATCTTAACAAGGTCAGTTGAATTCATTCGTAGTGATGACAACTTCACTAAATGATTCTAGGCTTGTAAATGAGCATTCAGTCTGCAGTATTGAAGTCTCAAAAAATTGTTAAGCATGTTTCACATATTTACGTCATTAAGCAGATACTAAACAATATATATTAGGTATTATTTACTCCTTCTCTCAACCCAAAACCTATTATGTAACCGACTTCTCTTTTCATATAATCTGCAGTTAAACTTGTAAAGACTTGTTTGTCTCCCTTGCATTATCGTGAAACTCGGCAAACTTAATTATTGACTGGATTTTTTAACATCTGCCTTAAGGCAGAATTATTAACGATTTACCCTATTAAACTGGTTAAAAGTGGAGGTTTAGTGATTAGACCTTTATGGCTGCGTCTAGACAATCAAGTGCTTGTATTTCATATCACATGAAGAGCACTGAATTACTCAAGATATATTTCCCAATTTTTATTATTATTATTAGTCCCTTGGGTTCCTAATGGAACATAGAGCTTCAGTAGCACGTCTCCAGTGTACTGTGTTCTCTGCAATCTTTTGAACCTGGCTCCAGGACTGCCAACAAGCTCTCATTTCCTTTTCACACGATCTCCTCCATGTCACCGTCTCGGAAGCCCAACTCGTCGCTTCCCATCTGAGTTCCACTCGAGCAACTGGCCTGACGCATGATGTCCCTAGTCGGCCTTCTCGGTGTATGCCCATTCTAATTCATCTCCACCTCCTTCTGCATATTTTTTAGGTGATAGGTTCTTGGTTGGTTCGTTGCCAGCCAGCCAGAGTTCCTTATTGCTTATTCTTGTTATTCTGGCCATCTGATCTTCAGTAACGAGACAGTGTAAGCAGCTGCTGATGAATGTCTGTAATTTATTGGAAATCCCTTTCGTAACGCGCCAAGTCTCTGAACCATTAGGAGTACTGACTTGACGTTGGCGTTGGAAATCCAAATCTTGTTCCACATGCTGAGTGGAGTGCAGAAGATCTCCACACTGGTTTCGGGTTAATGAAGGCCTGTCTTGCTTTTCCGATTCTGGCTGGCTTTGACGTCCTCGTCTGTGCCACCGCCACCTGTAGTTGAAACAGTGTTGTCTAGATAGGTGAAGGAGGTCACTTCCTTTAAGTTTCTCCCGTTGATGGCGATTGGTGGTGTTTTTGGTTTGGTTTCTTCATCGCCTCTGTCTTCTCTACGCTCAGCTGAAGTCCCATCTTCGCTGCCCTACTTCACCTCTTCTGTCAACTTGTTAGTTTTCACCTGTAGATCTTCAAGTTTGTGTGATATCAGACACAAGTCATCGGCGAATTCCAAATCTTCTAGGTTCTTTTCCGCTGTCCAGCATATCCCCCTCTTCTCGCTCCCCACTGTTTTCTGCATGATCCAGTCGACCACAATCAAGAATATCATGGGTGATAGTAGACAGCCTTGTTTCACTCCTGTCTTCACTTCAAGTGCAGAGGCATCACTGAGCTTGCCATTGTGAATTACTTGGCTGGCATGTGGCGTCTTCATATAGTTGCTGAATGAGGTTGATAAAGGTTTGTGGTATTTCGTAGTATTGAAGCAGCTTCCAAATTACCTCTCAGTCGGCGCTGTCAAAGGCCTTCTCAAAGTCGATGAAGTTGAGAATGAGAATTGAGTTGACTGCCGTTCTATACTCTGTTCTATGATGATGCATAGTGTGGCGTTGCAATTTGGTCCGCACATGATTTGTACTTCCTGAATCCAGGCAGCCTGCCTGTTCCGGTCGTAGTTTCGAATCTAGTGCATTGTTTAGTCTCTCCAGGATAATGCGGCTTAATATTTTGCTTGCTTTGGGTGGACAGGAGAGTGATTCCTCGCCGGTTCTTGCAAAGACTTAGGTCGCGCCTCTGTGGGAGTTTGACAAGATAGCCCTTCTTCCCATAAATTGGCAGGTACCTGCCCTTCCTTCCAGACCTTCTGCAATAGTGGTGTGGTGTGAGCATGTCGGTTGTTGTCTCTGCGTCTGTTCTCAGTGCTTCTGGTGGGATCCCATCTGGTGCTGTTGCTTTCTCGCATTTCAGTAGCTTTATGGCGTTCAGGACTTCCATTTTCGTTGGGGGATTTATGTTCACTTGTAGTTCAGCGGCTGGGCTGTAGGTGGTATTTCTGGACGAAGTGCAGGTGGTGGTGGTCGATTCAAGAGCTTCTTGAAGCGGTCGGCACATCGTTTCCTTTGTTTCTCTTGTTTGGTCATTAAATTTCCTTCTTCATCTTTTATTGGTTTCGTCTTCGTTGATCTCTTCCCAGACAGCAAGTAACCTGGTTATTTGATACAATGTTGTCAGGTCTCTCCTACATGCAGCCTGTTCTGCTTCACTTGCCAGTGTTTCGTCGAAGTGTCTTTTGTCTTTCCGTGCACTCTTATTCACTTCTTTGTCCACTGTAGTGTTTTATGGGTTGTATTCAGTTCCTCTTGTCGTTGAGCATCCTTGCACTGGTTTATCTTCTGCTTCACCATCCTCCTCTCCTCTATCAGCTTCCATGTATCCATTGAGATCCATTCCTTATCTTCTTTCTTCTTCTTCCTAATACGATTGTACAGGTTTCTTTCCACATAGCTTTCAAAGACTTCCAATGTTCTTCCACACAGGTTTCTTCAGGATCTTCCTCGATATCTCCCATTTTGTCTTGATGGCTGGCTGTCGTGAAGATTTCCTTTGTAGTTCCATCCTTCAGTTTCCGAGTGTTGTACTTGAATTGAGGTCTATCACCAGCTTCCTTGAAGGCTTTTAACTTGATTTGGAAGGTTCCTTGCACTAGATAGTGGTCTGAACCTACATCTGCTCCTCTTCTTGACCTTGTGTCAAGTAGACTGCGTCTCCATTTTCTTGAGATTGAGATGAAGTCGATTTGATTTTTAGTGTGTCCTGGTGTCTGGGGAAATCCATGTCGCTTTGTGGATATCCTTGTGCTTGAACACACTACCTCCAATCATGAAATCGTTGAATGCACAGAATTCTACAAACAATTCTCCATTCTCGTTCATTTCACCGAGCGTTTGTTGACCCATAGTTAGTTCTCTTCCTGTGTTGTCAGCTCCCAGTTTGGCATTCATGTCACCCATTAGAATCTTGATATCGCCAACTGAGATGGGGTCTTGTCCAGTGTTGATTGGAGTTGTCTGTAGAATTCCTCCTTTTTCTCTTGATCTGCATTATTTGTAGGTGCATAGGGTAGCATTCTATGATTGTGACCTTCCTTCCTTCTTTTTGAGTTGAATCTTGCTGTCATGATCCTGAAGGAGATTGGTTCCCACTGCATGAGAGCCTTCGATGCTCTTCAAGGGGACATCATGATAGCCACTTTAAAACTCAGTGTGCTCATGGTTGTCTTCTGGGTGACCGGAGTAGATTATTGATTCTCCAGTTGACAGTTTGCAGACTCCACTCCCATTCCATCTGCTTTCGCAAATCCCAAGCACTTCGATGTTATACCTTCTCATCTCCCTTGCAATCTGGGCTGCCTTACTCGGTTCAAACATCGTGCGGACATTCCATGTCCCCACGTTTACTTTCGCTTTCATCGAGAGAAGACACATCGGCCGATTGGCTTCCCGAAGGCTTTCACCAACCGGCGTCATTTCGTCTCTCCGATTCCAGCGAGGAATAATTTTGTTTTTATTTTTTACATATCGTTTGTGCTTTGAAGTTTCTTTAGCGGTTAGATTTGTTTTACGTGGTAGGGTTGCTAGCCCTTTGCCTAACCTTCCCTCTTTACCCGGGCTTAGGACCGGCTAGTAACTAGTTAACTAGTTAACCAGGCGAGGTTATATTTCTCAATAGTAGTTCAAATCTGTTCCAACAGTTCACTACTTTTATCTAACATTAAACATTTCTGCTTCCTATTCCGCACATAATTTTCACTTCATTTGATTTATGAAATGAGATCAAACCTTTCGGTGAAAAATTATAATACTCTGGTCAGTGCATTTCTGTTTGCTTTTCAGAACTACTCTGTTCATTATTTATGCTAACAGTCTTTGTACGTATACTTTCCTTTTGGCGAATTTTTTAACATATTCATATGTAGTTTCTTCGTGTTTCAATGCTTAGTACTGCTCAGAGTAAACTTCTTCTACTGGGTGTAATAATTTGGCTAGTTTGTAAAAATATATTTTGCATCCAGTTACTCACGCATATATCAACATTTTATATGCATTTTTTCAATCTAGAAAATTTATTTTATTTGCTAAGTTTTAGTCTGCTGCTCAATAAAGTAAAATTTAGACAGACTACTTCCTTCGACTTTTAACGGTGGAATTTTTAGACAACTAACCACAGATATACTGCAGACATTAGAAAACAGTGTGAATTACTGTTGAAGATATGTGTATCCAAGACGGTTATATGATAACGAGTTTACCTTTTCTAAAGAGAATATGAAATCATAAAGAAAACGAAACAAAGCCGAGTTAGTCTTCATCATTTAACATCACATCCCAACCTCAGTTTTTAAAAACATAATCATACCAATTTGTTGAACAGTACAACTTAGCCCCGAATAAAATTTCTTAACCTAATAATGATAACACATTATGTTGCATAATTTCTTCCATTCTTGTTTTCCATAGTTCCTTTGAGTATTCAAGCTCAGCTTCAGCAAAATCAGTCTGTGAAATCTGAAAGGCCATCATTAGTACTACGTAAGTTGCATTTTGCTACCGTTAACAATCATTCGTGTATTCTGATACACTCAAATAGCCTATGTGCTTACATTTCACAGATAAAAGCAATCGAGATAAAATGTCATCTGACATATAATCCTTGAAACCCAAAAACTGCCATCATCGCCATCAAAGACTATTTCGAATCCTCGGATTAACTTTCTTAATGTCATCAATATCTCTGCATATGCAACTTGATCTAGCGTAGGCTGGCAGTTTTCAGCAATATATACATATACCACGCGTTATTTTGGAACCAAATAAGTTAAAACTTTGAGTTTCACCTTGAATCCATGCATTTGAATATAATATTCTAGACGGCCGCCTACTGGCGAATGTTGACGAGATTAGTAAGAAATTTCAGTTATAGTAATAAAAATAAATATCTATTTGTCCCTTCAGTACCTAGTCGAACATGAGCCTTCAATAACACCTCACCATTACACTCTCTTCTCTACAGTCTTTTCAACCTGGCTCCACAACTGCCCACAAGCTTTCATTTCCTCGAAACACCATCTCCTCAGTGTCAACCTCAGCTGCGATGCCCAACTCATCGTTTCCCATTTCGGTTCCACTCGACGGTCTGTCCTGATGTGGGATGTCCTCAGTCGGTATTCTCAGTGAATCTTCAATCCATCAACATTCTCTTTTGCATATTTGTTGGGCTGTTCGTTGCCAGCCAGCCAGCCACCAGAGTTCCCTGGCGCTTATTCTTACTATTCCGGCCATCCCATCTTCAGTACCAGTATCGAGTGAGCGTAGGCGGCAGCAGTTCATGTATATATGCAGTTTGTTGGAAATGCTTTTCAGAACACGCCAAGTCTCTCAACCATCACATAGAATCACTGACTTGACTGACATCAGTGTTGAAAATCTGGATCTTGTTCACGTCTTATACTGAGTGCAGTGCAGTCGAGTGGAGTAGGTCTTCACACTGATTTCACACTAATGAACACCTGTCCTGCTGTGTTTCTAGTCCTCGATTTCACATCCTCATCTGTGCCGTCGCCATCGCCGCCACCACCTGTAGTTGAAACCATGCTGTCCTGTCTAGGAAGGTAGGTGAAACAGGCTACTTCCTTCAGGTTTCTCACGTTGATGGTGGTTGGTGCTTGTTGTTGTTGTTGTTAGTGGTGATGGTGTTGTTGGTTGGGTATCTTCATCACCTCCATCTTATCTACATTCACCTGAAGGGAGTTCCACATTCGCTGCCTCCCCACACATCTTCTGCCAACTTGTTGGTTTCACTTGTACATCTCCGAGTTTGTGCGACAAGATATTAGACAAAAGTCATCATCGGCGAAATTCAAATCTTCTCCTGGATTCTTTTCATCGCTCCGACCAGCACATGCCCATCTTCTCCCTCCTCACAGTTGTCTCTGGCATGATTCACTCCAGTCCAGTTCAGTCAGATGCAGTAGATCACAATCAGAAAGATCATCGTTGGTAGTAGGCAACGTTGTCTCGCTCCTGTTCCCTGTCCTCACTTCAAAGGCATTCCTGAACTTTCCATTGTGAAGCACTAAACATGTGGCATCATAGGACATGTAACTAACTGCTGTTGGATGAGGTTGACAGAGGCTTGTGGCACTAAACCACACTGTTGAAGCAGGTGCCAAATGACTTCTCAGTCGACACTGTCGAAAGCCTTTTCAATGTCAATGAAGTTGAGGTGAGGTGAAGAGTTCAATGTGACTCCATAATCTGTTGTATGATGATGCGTAGCGTATTGTATCATTGTAATTTGATCTGCACATGATTTGTTGTTCCCGAAGTCTGTCAGCAAGACTGTTCCGGTCGTATTTTGAATGCAGAGCATCTTTCAGTCAATCCAGGATGATCCGGCTTTATATTTTGCTTGCTTCGGGTGAACAGGTATGGAGCATGATTCCGCACCAGTTCATGCAAAGACTTACTTCACCGTTCATTGGGAGTTCGACAAGGTAGCCCTTCATCCAAACAATCGGCAGGAACATTCCCTTCCTTCCTTGAAGCCTTCTGCAATAGTGGTGTAAGCGTGTCCGCTGTCATCTCTGCCTCTGTTCTCAGTACCTTTGAAAGAATCGCATTTGGTCCTGCTGCTCTCTCAGATTTCAGCAACTTTATGGCATTCAGAACTTCACTTCTGCTTTTGTTGGAGGGCTTGTGTTCACTGGTAGTTCTGTGGCTGGACTGCTGGTGGTATTTCTCGACGAGTTGTAGGTGGTAGTGGTGGTGGTGGCGGTGGTCGATTCAAGAGTTTTTCGAAGTGGTCAACCTATCGTTTTCTTTGTTTCTCCTCTTTCATGGTAACCAACTTTCCTTCACTATCTGTCATTGGTTTCATCTGTGTTGATCTCTCCTCTCCCAGATAGTAAGTTACCTCGTGATTTGACACAATGTTGTCAGGTCTCTCCTACATGCAGCCTGTTCTGCTTCGCCTGCCAGTGTGTCGTTGTACAGTCTTCTGTCTTCCCGTACACTCTTATTCACTTCTTGGTCCACTGTAGTGTTTTACAGGTTGTGTTCAGTTCCTCTTCTCGTTGTTCAGCCGTGCATTGCACTGCACTGCACTGCACCGCAGTGCACTACACTGCTTCATCTTCTGCCTCACCATCTTCCCCTCTCTCCTCTATCAGCTTCCATGTGCAGGTCCGTCGAGATACATTCCTAGTCTTGTCTTGTTTCTTGTTGCTTCCTATCACGGTTATGCAGGTTCCCTTCCGCATAGCTTTCAAAGAGTTCAAGTGTCCTTCCACACAGGTTGTTCCACGGATGTTGCTCAATGTCTCCCATTTTGTCCTGATGACTGACTGACTGACTGACTGACTAACTGACATGAAGATGTACTTTGTGGCTTCGTCATTCAGTTCAGTTGAGTTCAGTTCCTGTTCTGCGTGGTTGCTGAACTTGAACTGTTGTCTATCACCAACTTCTGTGAAGGCTTTCAACTTGATTTTCAAGGTAGGTTCGTTGCACTAGACAGTGAGTGGTGTCAACCTACATCTGTTCCTACTCCTCTTCTTCTTCTTTTTTTATCTTGTATCTAGTGGGCTGCGTCTCCACTTCCTACACAGTGAAATGAAGTCGATCTCATTGCTAGTGTGTCCTGGGGTCTCGTGAAACCCATGTCGCTGCCTTGTGAATATCCTTGTGATTGTACACACTGCATCACTCCAATCACCAAGTCGTTGAATGTGCAGAAGTCCACAATCAGTTCTCTATTCTCATTCTTCATTTCACCGAGTGCTTCTCGACCCATGATCAGTTCTCTTCTTGTGTTGTCTGCTCCGACTTTGACTGGCATTCACGTCACCCCACCAATTCGAATTTTGATATCTCCACATGGAGTAGGGTCTTGTCGAGTACTGATTGGAGTTGTCTGTACAATTCATCCGTCTTCTCTTCATCTGCATTATTTGTAGGTGCGCAGCGTAGCCTAACATTGTATGATCGTGACTTTCCTTCCTTCTTTTTGAGTTGGATCTTGCTGTCATGATGGTGATCCTGCATGAGGGGACTGGTTCCCACTACATGAGAGAGATAGCCTTCAATGCTCTTCAAGGGGACATCACGATAGCCACTCGATAACTCAGTGAGCTCGTGGTTGTCGTCTTTGTGACAATATCGGAGTAGATTATTGACTCTCCAGTTGACAGTTTGGAGAGTCCACTTCCATTCCATCTGCACACTGCTCACTGATTCCTAGCACTTCTATGCTATATCTTCTCATTTCGTTTGCAATCTGACCAGCCTTGCTAGTCAGCTTCGAACATTGTGAGCACATTCCATGTCTCCATGTTTACTTTTGTTTTCCTGGAGGGGAGAAGTCACATCGGCCGATTGTCTTTTCGGAGTCTTTCACCAACAGGCGTTATTTCGCCTCCCCGATTCCAGTGATGAATAAGTTTAATTTTATTTTTTATATTTTGTGTGTGTTTTGAAGTTTGTTTAGGGATTGGACTGGTGTTTTGGGGGTAGGGTTGCTAGCTGTATGCCCAACCTTCCCTCTTTCTCTGGGCCTAGGACCAGCTAATTAACTATTGATCTATTAAACTGTGCTAGTTTGCAGGTTTGAGTAGATATGGAATGATTTTTTTTTGCATTACTTAATTGAACTTGTGATAACATACTAACGTAAATGAAAAAGAAGCGGAACTCAGGTGCTTTTTTGGGGATATTCGCACGAAAATATCTGTGTTACCGACTATAATCTATGTTGATGCAGTAGTCAGTGACTTTCAACTTTGGAGTGACCGTTTGAATACGGGGAATTCGGTTCGGAGGAATTTAGAATCGTGACATTTGTGTGATGCAAATATTGTTAAATTTCGAGGTAGTTGTGGAGATTTGGAAATATTTCAAGTTGTTGTTTATCGTAGACTGACATCAGTTGTTCCTCCAGCTGATGTCAGTCTTCGATGAATAACAACTTGTAAATATTGGTCATCGGTTGGTAGTCAACTACGATAATTAACATGATTCTTTAGCGACTGGATTTGTTTTCCGGTGTAGGGTGGCTGGCTCCACGCCCAAACTTCCCTCTTTTTCCGGTCTTAGGTCAGGTGGACAGTAACATTAGGATATCTAAAAAAGCCAAGCCGAGAATAGGTTTCGATTACAGTGAAGAATGGATACAGCCATAATTACTTTAACGTACTTTGAATCCTTAAGTATCTCAGAATTTCAAATATAGATGTTGTCTAGTACTAGTTGGCTTCTCTGCTAATAAAAAATAAACCTGAAAACCTTAAGATAACCTACATCTTGAGTTGAAATTCATCTTTAATGTCTTCTGAAAGTCATCATGGACTAGTGTTCCTACTCTAATCTGCGATTTCCATTAAAAATACCCCTTTGACTGTTTGGAAAACAAACTCGGGATCTTCACTTTTTGAAGCTATTGTGCTACTGCAATGGTGCCAAATTGGAAACGATAATTCAAATTTCACAATCCCAGACACTTCATGATATGGTACAGCTAAAATTAAGTTTTTTAGTAAATTCCCATTCACAGTCATCACTTGAATGAGCTAACGAGTCACATATTTCTATAGAACCTCTAGAAACCCATTTTCAAGCAAGATGATTACAGCTGTTCAATTTGAAATATGGTCTAGTTCTCAACTAGTAAGACTTAAAATCTAAAAATCCTACACCAAGCCTTCTATGAAGTTTCAGATTTGTGCCAGTATCGCACACCAAAAAAAAATCCCCGTTACCACCTAGTTTTAAATGGTTTTCTGCTTGTCTTGAGCGCTCCCTAGTGAAATGTCAGTGGCATACAACTATCTTCACAATATAAATTCAAATCTTTTATGCCTCAAAAGGTTCTTACCGAAATTTATAAGCCGCAGCTATAATGATCTGTCTCTCATTGTTGGACAAATTGCCATCCATTTATGTCCTATCTTCTCCTGACTATATGTAGTCTTGACGTTTCTATCATATAAAATCCAACAAAATCTGTAAAATGAATTCAGTTGACCGTGTATTCCAGACTTGCATTCAAGGAGATGGTTAATATGAGGGCAGTTATTCAAAAAAATTGGTAGTACTACCAACTTTTTGGTTTTATTGGCATAAATTATCGTTTTTTTGGAAACTTTATTAACCAGTCTCTCAAGAAAAAAAGTTTTATTTTCCATTATATAAAAGAATAATCTTTGTCCACTACTTAGATATATATATTGTCACTGAAGTTTATTGTAATCTGGTGAATATGAATTTTACTAATACGATATTCATGTTTCCTGAAGTGTCGTTTGCGACTTCTGACAAATGAAACAGACAATCCTATACACAACTAACGTGAAGAGTTGGCAGACATTGGGTCATCTATAAGACAGATAAATCGGGAATTCAAATAGCATATTTTTCCTGACAAATAAATGAATTTTAAAGTAGACATTGGAAAAAGTTATACATATATACAAACATGATTATTTTCTATATAATTTTACGGAACTCATTTCATGCTGATTGCAAACAAATTTTATAGAGTTTCGTTTACGAAATAATATCTCACTTTTATTGCAGCCACTGTGCAAACGGGCATAGGAAAAGGCACTCCTGTATCTCAGCCAACACCCAAGTTGTCCATTAGTAAAAGTAAGTTGTATGTCGTCAAGTATGAAATTAGTTTTAAAACCAAACCGATAAGATGAAATTGTGTCTTATCACTTATATATGGATGTAAATTTTCTAAACTGTTTGCTTCATTCCCCTGGCATATTAATATGCCACTACCTAATGTAATGATATGTAGAAGGAACATTTTTTAACTAATAGCTGTTGCTTTAGGGATAAGATCGTATTCATTACTAAAAACAGTATTGTTCGCTATAGTACTGAGTATGTCAACAGCAAGCGTAAGTTTCATCTAGCTGTCCTCTAAATAAGCACTAATCTGAGACGCCTCCAGAGATTGATAGACTCAGGATTTTAAACTCCTAGTTCAATTGGGTTTTGAGGTAAATAAGTGCATTGATTGAATATCTTTAGTTAACATAATTATGTCGTCATCAGAAAATATTCCTTCCTTTGGAAGGAACTTTTTCTACTGAAATATTCAAGTGTCAACTCGGAGGTGTGAAGTAAGTATCACATGAAATTCAATGCATCCATTCTCCATTATTCTTAAAGGTTAGCATATATGTAAATGGTTTCAAGTGCTACACTAAAATGGCAACTGAATTGTAAGCGATCTAGTTATTATTCCAAAGTACTAACCGGAGTTTATCGGTTGAACTTGCAGTTTGACTATCAAACGAATTGACCAAATATTGAAGTTGAAAATGCATTCGCTGTTAACAAAAGTTAGCCAGTAAAAGAAATTTTATTTCAGCATTTTTGTCTATCCTGCACTGACACTGTCCAAAAGATTATTCACAACTTAAGAGGACTTAACAACTGCTTCTGGGTGGTTAACAATAACTCAGCTATGTGAAGTTAGAAGTTTACTCAGGAGAAAACCAAGAAACTCTCGAGTTAAAAACTCCAAACAGCTTTATGGAATCTGATTCCATTGTCACCCACTTCCCTACTGTTATCAACTGAACACACAGTGCAAACTTAGCTGACTGTGATTGATTCGTTTCTGTCTTAATCGCTTACTGAACTGTAAACGTGTGAAATATGTCTGTTATGGTGGAGAGGTATTGATTTGCTTCCAAGTCAAATATTTCATAAAAGTTATGAGAAATCAGTGGCAATTATATTACCATACGACATAGTTTTCATACAGTAAAAGTTGATTACGAATGAACTCAGCAATGACAGTTGTGCTTTTCCAAGCCTTTTCTGTTTCTACATCTGCTCAACGTCATTTGCTAACGGACCGGCTTCTAGTTAGTCACGTATGCATGAAAATGGTGTGCAAAACAGCCCTTGAACTCCTAATAACGAAGAAGGCTCAAAATTCTTGGGTATCTACCCTCACCCCTTATCTACAACAGCATTGAGTGTCATGCCTGGATTATCCGGATAAGGCCGGTTGCATCTCATACTCATCACTCGACTAATACCAACCCTCCTGCCATCTCAGTTAGTAAGGTGCTATCCAGGCATTTCAGCTCCGACTGCCTGTGTGATGTAAACAGACAACTGACCAGGTTCAGGAGTCAGTCGGTGACTGCCTTCAAAAACGTATTCTCCAACTAGCAGGGATAATAAGGGATTTGTCTCTTCGAGTATTCGGTAGCGACAGCTGGTGCAATCCCTAGGATGGAACTCATCACTGATCTGCGACTCATATGAGACATTTAAGCAACTCGCTAGAAGGAGCAGGGACATAGCCACATCATCATAACTTACATTAGATGACAAGACATTTTACTGCTTTAAGAGAGTTATAGTTCTCCCTCCAACAACGACTTTAAGTTGATAATTTATACTAACGCCTAAAATGAACGAAAACTGAAATAGAGTGTTGAATTGGTCACTTGACCAAATACATGACATCTTAAAGACTTATTAACAGGGTATCACCCAACGCCTTTCATGATTCGTGCTTGGTTTTCTGTTGAAAACAAATTTCCAAGGAAAGTAAAATGCAGACCGGATCAGACTGATAGAATTCTAGATATGTTGTTCCGTTCCTGTCTTACCAGGGAAAGTATTTTATGTAAATGATTTATTAGATACACGTATCTGAGCTTGTTTTGTGTCTGTATTGAGGGAGAAACACTTTGACATTTAGATCGATCCATCTTATTGTTAAGGTCTCAATATTCTACGCATTAGTTTATTCTACAATGCCAATACTGCTGGGGATGGTACCGTTGAAGTCCGTCAACAGAATAACCAGCTTTTATTGTTGATATTTTCAATGTATTTCTCGTGTGAGGTGTAACCCTTGAATCAAACTTCACTGAACTGAGACTAAACTTCTTGTCGGCTGCGTAGGTCGGTAATGAAACAGAATCTGCAATAAACAGATCGTCTAATTTGTGGTAGCATGCTGACTGGAACTTCTTTAGACTGTAAGAATCTTTAGGGTAGTCAAAATGCAACAATAAAGTCACTATACTTTGAACAGAGCTTTACCAAGAAGTTTTAATTTTCTGACTACAGCACTTGACATATTGGGAATCAAACACTTTGTTACTCATCTAATGAAATCATGCACATTTTATTGACCGTCATTTATCTAGTTGCATTGTTTCCGTTTGACTTTTGTTTATTTTAGTGTTTTTCTGATACTTCAACTTTTGCTAAATTGTTGTTTTACACTGTGACAACTGGAACCAATGCTCAATTGTTTTTAGTTCCGTGCTACTGTTTCTGTCCCAATACATAGAACACTAACGCAGAAACGACAATAAGCTATTAAATCTGAAGAAAAAAAGCCACAAGTAATTTTTCAAGTCTGCGTGACTGGATGAGAAATATAAAAAGCTTAAAACAAATAGACGGAATCTAACGAAGCAGTATGAAGCACAAAAAACTCGGGTAAAATTAGTTAGGGATTAAATGAATAGCATGAAATTGATAAGTAGCTGCGAATAAAGTGCTTAAAAACTATTGTGAGATCTAGACAGAAATACAAAACGCTTAGAGATTCATAACATTTTGTCTTTGCGTACTTCGGTCCAGGTGTTTCAAGCCCTTTAATCATTGAGCTCTATTCTGATGACATACAGTTCAAAAGATTTGATATGAATAGTCACATTCATGAAAGTTAACTGGCAAAATTGAAGAAGCTCGAAATTACGAAGAACATGATGAGAAATGTTGACATTCGATTTCGTATACTTTACTGAAAGAATTCTGAGATTTTCACTCAAAGTATTTTTGCTGCTGTTACCATCTCGAATAAATGCCTAATAAAATCACCAGGTTATAAATAGCTACGAAGCTTTACAAAATTCATCTGAATAACTAGAATCTGCTGTTAGGATCTTTGGAAGATGGGAAATACATTAGACTTGTTAAGAAATTCAGATATTGTGAGCATCTACAAAGTAATTGGTAGGAACTTCACTAATCTGTACACATAATTGTTTTTCTACATGTACTGTTTCAAACTGAAATCTTCAATTCTTTGATTCTGTATCGCTAATTTCATATTAATGCTTTAGATCCTGAGGCAGAATCAGATCAAACAAAGAAGCTTGGTCGTTTGCCGAAATCATTTCGATGTGAATGTTGCCAACAAGTTACAGTAACCAGAACAACATATCAAATCGGTGCTTTAACATGGCTTATGGCAGCCTTTATTTTTCTCTGCGGGTAAGTTAAAGGCATTTGTATGTCAACTGGTGTAATATTTATATTATAACATTTCATATAGAAGTCGATTTTTATGAAAAGTTTCAATGAAATCATAAAAAAGCAAAGATTATTTATTTACTTGAAATGCAAAGTTAGTACAACTAGGTTACCGATAATAGGCCACTTAATATTATAAAGCAAAGTTATGAAGATACGCTATACAAATATACTGGAAGAACGTAGAAAACAGAAAGATTGATTGGACACCAAAGAAGCTATTTAACTAAGTTTCTTGCATATAATGATAATTTTAAAAAAGAAAACTACAGTACGAGTATCAAAATGTCTTGAGCTACTGATCCTCATGATCACTTGAACCTTATTGAATAAACGGAGATGCAAGTACACATACTAATGAAACCCAACTGTCCTCTGTTTGCCACTTCGCCTGGATAACCAGTCCACTAGTTTACTAGCTGGTCCTAGGCCCAGAGAAAGAGGGAAGGTTGGGCATACAGCTAGCAACCCTACCCCCAAAACACCAATCCAATCCCTAAACAAACTTCAAAACACACACAAAATATAAAAAATAAAATTAAACTTATTCATCACTGGAATCGGAGAGGCGAAATAACGCCTGTTGGTGAAAGACTCCGAAAAGACAATCGGCCGATGTGACTTCTCCCCTCCAGGAAAACAAAAGTAAACATGGAGACATGGAATGTGCTCACAATGTTCGAAGCTGACTAGCAAGGCTGGTCAGATTGCAAACGAAATGAGAAGATATAGCATAGAAGTGCTAGGAATCAGTGAGCAGTGTGCAGATGGAATGGAAGTGGACTCTCCAAACTGTCAACTGGAGAGTCAATAATCTACTCCGATTTTGTCACAAAGACGACAACCACGAGCTCACTGAGTTATCGAGTGGCTATCGTGATGTCCCCTTGAAGAGCATTGAAGGCTATCTCTCTCATGTAGTGGGAACCAGTCCCCTCATGCAGGATCACCATCATGACAGCAAGATCCAACTCAAAAAGAAGGAAGGAAAGTCACGATCATACAATGTTAGGCTACGCTGCGCACCTACAAATAATGCAGATGAAGAGAAGACGGATGAATTGTACAGACAACTCCAATCAGTACTCGACAAGACCCTACTCCATGTGGAGATATCAAAATTCGAATTGGTGGGGTGACGTGAATGCCAGTCAAAGTCGGAGCAGACAACACAAGAAGAGAACTGATCATGGGTCGAGAAGCACTTGGTGAAATGAAGAATGAGAATAGAGAACTGATTGTGGACTTCTGCACATTCAACGACTTGGTGATTGGAGTGATGCAGTGTGTACAATCACAAGGATATTCACAAGGCAGCGACATGGATTTCACGAGACCCCAGGACACACTAACAATTAAATCGACTTCATTTCACAGTGTAGGAAGTGGAGACGAAGCCCACTGGACACGGAAGAAGAAGAGGAATAGATATAGGTTGACACCACTCACTGTCTAGTGCAACGAACCTACCTTGAAAATCAAGTTGAAAGCCTTCACAGAAGTTGGTGATAGACAACAGTTCAAGTTCAGCAACCACGCAGAACAGGAACTGAACTCAACTGAACTGAATGACGAAGCCACAAAGTACATCTTCATGTCAGTCAGTCAGTCAGTCATCAGGACAAAATGGGAGACATTGAGCAACATCCGTGGAACAACCTGTGTGGAAGGACACTTGAACTCTTTGAAAGCTATGCGGAAGGGAACCTGCATAACCGTGATAGGAAGCAACAAGAAACAAGACAAGACTAGGAATGTATCTCGACGGACCTGCACATGGAAGCTGATAGAGGAGAGAGGGGAAGATGGTGAGGCAGAAGATGAAGCAGTGTAGTGCACTGCGGTGCAGTGCAGTGCAGTGCAATGCACGGCTGAACAACGAGAAGAGGAACTGAACACAACCTGTAAAACACTACAGTGGACCAAGAAGTGAATAAGAGTGTACGGGAAGACAGAAGACTGTACAACGACACACCTGCAGGCGAAGCAGAACAGGCTGCATGTAGGAGAGACCTGACAACATTGTATCAAATCACGAGGTAACTTACTATCTTGGAGAGGAGAGATCAACACAGATGAAACCAATGACAGATAGTGAAGGAAAGTTAGTTACCATGAAAGAGGAGAAAACAAAGAAAACGATAGGTTGACCACTTCGAAAAACTCTTGAATCGACCACCGCCACCACCACGACCACCACCACTACCACCTACAACTCGTCGAGAAATACCACCAGCAGTCCAGCCACAGAACTACCAGTGAACACAAGCCCTCCAACAAAAGCAGAAGTGAAGTTCTGAATGCCATAAAGTTGCTGAAATCTGAGAGAGCAGCAGGACCAAATGCGATTCTTTCAAAGGTACTGAGAACAGAGGCAGAGATGACAGCGGACACGCTTACACCACTATTGCAGAAGGCTTCCACGGAAAAAAGGAAGGAAGGAAATGTTCCTGCCGATTAATTGGATGAAGGGCTACCTTGTCGAACTCTCAATGAACGGTGAGCTTAGTCTTTGCATGAACTGGTGCGGAATCATGCTCCATCCCTGTTCACCCAAAGCAAGCAAAATATAAAGCCGGATCATCCTGGATGGACTGAAAGATGCTCTGCATTCAAAATACGACCGGAACAGTCTGGCTGGCTGACTGACTGACTGGCTGACTGGCTGGCAAGGAACGGCCCAACAAATGTGTAAGACGGAATGGAGATGGATTGAAGATTCACTGAGAATACCGACTGAGGACATCCCACATCAGGACAGACCGTCGAGTGGAACCGAAATGGGAAACGATGAGTTGGACATCGCAGCTGAGGTTGATATTGAGGAGATGGTGTTTCGAGGAAATGAAAGCTTGTGGGCAGTTGTGGAGCCAGGTTGAAAAGACTGTAGAGAAGAGAGTGTAATGGTGAGGTGTTATTGAAGGCTCATGTTCGACTAGGAACTGAAGGATCAAATAATAATAATAATAGCAATAATAATCCGTTAAATGGTATGGTATGGTACCGATAGCTGCTACCTTGACGTGGTGGTCGGGCTTGCATATCACAATGACCCAACGAGCTATGCTGGTGGAACGCTTGTTCCCTCGAGGTCCTACCATACCAGAAAGGTCTGTTGGGTAGTGGTTAGACGAAAAGCAGTTACCGTCATAGTGTAAATTGCTACACTATGATGGGGGTCTGAGGGCGAAGTCGTACTGCTGCTAGCTGGATGGGGTGTGACAGCAGTAAGGTGTTTCCCTTGGATGACCAGCAGTGCCAAGCTGATGCTGCCTTCTCAGTGGAAGGGGGGGTTAGAAAAGGTCGGCCCCAAAAATAACACACTCCACCACGCCCCACGGTCTGCCGGGCCGGCGGTGTTGGTTCACTTGTCGTTTCCTTTCGCTCATCCGGCCCCAAAAATACAAAAATTCAAAATAATCATACTCAAAAGGCTGGGTGTGACAGGCCTCAAGCAGATGTCCGATGGGCTCTGCGGTCACACAAATCTCTTTCAGGTACCTTAAGAAGAAATAGCCTTCCACGGTGTGGGCAGCCGGGAAGTGTCAACCGCCCTCACAACTCTGTCAGCACCCAAGTTTCTTCTGACTGCTATCCTCCTCCTCCATCATTACCTTCTAATCTTCCTTCACGTCTCTTAATTAATGATGCTGCATCATCTTCAATTTCTCCTACCTCTGCAGCCTTCGACAACGATCTGAGTCCACAGAACAGCGTCCCTGGTCTCCTTAAACCACGCTCCAAATTACATATTGGAGCCTTCAATGTCCGCACCCTCCGTCAAATTGGCCAACAGGCTTCGTTGGCAAAGACTCTAGCAACTCGGGGCATGGATGTGTGCTGTGTTTGTGAGACACGCATACAGGACCCAAGTGTGGTTATTCACCTGACCTCTCCTGACCAATCTGGTGAATCTGCAAAATTCACCCTTCGAGTTTCTGGAGATTCGATAGCTAGCTCTCGTGGTCTTGCAGGTGTAGGTATAGCATTAAGCACCAGGGCAGAAAACTCACTACTAGACTGGATCCCAGTTGATAGTCGCCTCTGCGCTATGAGGCTGAACGGCACAGTGAGAACTAAAAGGAATAGTGAGACTCGCCGTTGTCTCTTTGTAATCTCTGCTTACGCACCCACTGACTGTAGTTCGGATGAAGTGAAGGACGAGTTCTACCATAAACTGTCTAACCTCCTCTCGAAAGCCAAACGTTCGGACGTAGTGGTTGTTGCAGGTGACCTCAACGCACAGGTGGGTAGACTGAGTGAGGCAGAAAGGCACTTAGGTGGCACTTTCGGAATCCCAGCTGAACGTACAGATAACGGTGATCGCCTATTACAACTATGCTCAGATAACCGCCTATTTTTAGCCAGCACAAATTTCAGACATAAAGAAAGGCACTGTCTGACCTGGCGTCCACCGAGCTCGACTCAGCGATGGACACAGATAGACCACATTGCTATTAGTCATCGCTGGAGAGGATCGGTGGAAGACTGCCGCTCCTTCTGGAGTACGTGTTTGGACAGCGATCATGCGTTGGTCCGAGCACGTATATGCCTGCGTCTCAATGGACGTAGAAAAAATTTGGCAACAAAACCACTACGAGTTCTGCTGGACAACGAAAACACCAAAGCCGTGTTCAGTGAGAAGTTGGCTAGGCAGTTATCGGAACAAAAGACTGTCACTCATCCAGAAGAAGCTTGGTGCCATCTTCAGTCTACTGTAAAAGCAGCACTGGAGACTGTAGCCGACTCCAAGATAATGGCTAAAAAGAGCCAGTGGATATCAGCAGCTTCTTCCAAACTAATGGATGCACGTGAATGCATCCCTGCAGGCTCTGAGTACAATGAAGAGCGAGCGCAACTTAAAAATAAACTGACGAAAAGTCTGCGCAACGATCGTGAACAGTGGTGGGCAGCAAAGGCTAAAGAGATGGAAAAGGCAGCGGCGATCGGTAACAGTAGAC